TTTGAAAGAGAAAAAACAAAGTGAGCAAATAATAATAGTTTACTTGAAAGAACTTTCAAGATTCGCTTTGTTACTTTTCTTAAAGTAGAAATCGTGCGAAAACCTGATAAGAAAACAAACGAGCTATAGAAATGCTTTTTTGGTTTTGTAAAATTAGCTACTATCCTCTTGTTAACCTCCAATAGCGATAGGCGATAAAATTATCTTCCAATTGCTGGCAGGGTAGCATCACTCCAAAGGTTGCGCAAGTTTTATGTCGCTTTTTTTCCTAATTTAATAAAATAGATAACGCTAAACTAACAATAAACAGCAGATATGTAGTTTAGAAGAAAAAGATCTTGTAAAAACAAAAAAAAATTTAGCAATAGCAGAGACAATACACACAGAGAGAGTGTCAGCATAAAATTATGCAGCTTAAACAAGTGAAAAACAAAAATTAGTTGTTGTTCAAAAAAGAAGACCTGATTCTATCATTTACTCAACAGCTAACGCGCAGCTTTATCAGAGGGAACACCGCCAGTACGCATAATACCGAAGTGCGGGCGCGCTCAACTAATCCTCCTCCCCTACCGCGTCCGTTTGATCAACTCATTGCTTAGCGGCCAGGGTTACCACTGAGAAACTTTCTTTCTCCTACCAAGAACTGGTTCTAAAATCTACAATTTCTTTTAATCAAGAAAACGGCATGTGACGCTAAATACATTTATTTTTGCTGGTTTTTATACTTAAAATAAGATTTCCAAGTAAAAAAAATGGTCAGAATAATAGCTATTGTGTACATATTGTGCGTGCTTTAACCAAACCCACTTACCGACATGTATTTCGACCCGCTGAATACGAATATGAGGTCCGTTTGACTTCTGCACCCCCCAAAATTACGATTAACTTCCGAAAAACCGAAAAAAACCTACCAAAATTTTAAGCATCCTACCAACGATAAAAAAAAAACTACCAATTTTGGTAGGAAAAGCCCAAAACGGCAACTCGGTTAGCGGCGTTTGTTTGCATCTTTTATAATAGTGTGTATATATATGGAACCGGTGATTTTACAGAGATATAATTCTAACTCTCAAACCGTTGCGGAAGTGGTGGCAGCATCAGTTCAATCATGCCTGTCTACGAGACCGCCTACACATTTTTGGAATTTCCCTTAGTGAAAAGTAACGTGCGGACCAAATTAAAATATATAATTTAAAGAGTGTGCTGGATTTTATAACAACACAAAACTTTTTCTTATTTATTGTGCTTTATAAGATAAAAACTCGTTTGATAAATTTAAAAAATTTAGTTCGATTAGCGCACTGAAAACGAAGCAGAATAATTCGGCATGCTAAATTAATGGCTTGAAGCTGACTAAATCGCTCATTTCTGAGAGTTCACCACTCGGCTGGTTGCCTTCGCAATTTGTTGGAACGTGTTCTTTGCGTCTCACTATCTGAAACCTTGCAAGGTAACGAACAGATTCTTCCCGATTTGGACGGAGCTGGTACTAAATATTGATCATTTAACATAGCCGCATTTGGCTGGTACGAGGTATTTCGCTTTAAGCTACGGGACATTTTTTTCTTTTGTTGCGGTGAAGCTACGGCCTCAGTAGCTGAGTGGTTAGAAATGTGACCTATCTATCCTATTTAGAAAAGGTTATTTTCAACAACGATCCCCCTCGGCCGGCAAGGGCGAACCTTCGAGCGTAATACTACCTACAAAGAGCTTCTCATTAAACCATTTGCCGTTTTTAGACGGCGTAATTATATAAGCCTCCATGTGTGTTATAACATTAAGGTCTTTCTATGTATATGTATTAATGGTTTAACGTTACGGCATTTCCAGTGTCATTGTTCGTCCTCAACGATAGCTCAAAGTTCAAAAGCCCACATATAATTTTTACACTTTGCTGATGGAGCATGTCGCATACATTATATTTAATTAGTAGGCAAATTTGATATGTAAATACGTACATATCGTGCCTTAACCGCCAAAATAACGTAAGCGACATTTTTTTCAAAATTTTCTTTTTGATGCAGAAATGTATCTAGATGCTCTAGGAATATTTCTGCATTAAAAATAAATACGTTATTTTGGCGGTTAGGGCTCGATATGTGTCTGTGTACCGAAATCACTCATACGCACCGGTGTGTTTACGTTAAACTTTTCCTTTTGTTTAGATGTGGCTCATATAAAAATTTAAAATTATCGTTAATTTCTTCATGATCCGATGATCGGATTTAAACGAAAATATGGAACCACCTGTGTGGTAACACCTTTCCTTTCAAAAAAAGAATTATAGAAATCGGTTAACGTGATCCAAAGTTATGTGGTAACATACAAACAAACACAAAAAAAATACTCCGGCGAATTGTTAACCTTTCTCCTTTTTGTGAAGTCGGTTAAAAATTCGAAACTTTTGGATTGTAAATTTTTATGTCCTAATAAAATTACTATTAAATGTGATGACAAAAGAATAAAAACATAGTATTTCAGAGATTACCGAAAAGATCGCTAAGTAGGTATTAAGAAGATTTGTCTGCATCATCAGTACGTCTTGCGGAACCTAGCCCATCTTCTCCTGGCTCTGGAGAGATTCTCGACTAACCCAATAATGGAAATTTCCGCAGGATGCTGAAACTAATAGCTCCGTATGACCCCCGGACATATCAAAGAGTACGGAAATAGGCGACGGGGGCAAGTGAATTTTTTATCCTCAGCAACCTGTGAGGAAATAATAACTTTGAGGGAGTGCAGGTAAAAATAATGAGCCGGATCAAAAAGACAAAATATTCGTACTATTTCATCTCTGTTCATGTAGGAGACTGGATGCAACATGAGCAGCAAGTGCAAAGGAATTCAGACGAGAATTTCAAAAGAAAAAACGTGGTTAGAAGTCAATAGTTATTGCCGATACTGTTAAAATGAAAATTTAATTATTTTTCCAATTAATTTTATGTAATTGCTAACACAAAAAGGGCCCCCCACGGAGCCGTTCCGCGCCATTCTTAATCCGGCCCTGGTCATATACAAATATACAAAGTTCAGTATTCAATTACTCCATACAAAAACACTAACTCAGAACAAACTTTTAAATATACACATACATACATACAAAGATAAATAGCTGCAATAAAGAATTTCGAATGTTGATCATAGAAAATCACAAGCCTAATATGTTCGGCAATGGGACGTCACCGTTCAGATGATTTTTATTGGATGTGATCATAAATTTGTTAATTACAATTATTTTTTTTTTTTATCGGATATGATCATAAAGATTTAAAAGCGCATTTATAATATTTGCGAAAGATCTATATTTTACGAATATTACGAGGCAAAATGCTGCGCTCAAAAGTTTATTGAAAACTAGTTACTTTTTTAGAACAACGAATATACATATGTAAATGGGTCGATTAATTACCAAAGGAAATGAGTTAGCGTTTTTCCATTATCGAAAATTGTATGCAGTTCAACAGAGCTCCCTTAAAGGAACCAAGCTGCATCAAAATTTTCATGTCAAAAAAAAAAATGCTGACTATTCCCTATGCTAATTAATAGATTAAAAGAAAATATTTGCTATATTTGAAAAATAATGAGCTTTTGGATTTTACTTAAAAGTAGCCAAAAAGTCGCATTTTAAGTTTAATCAACACCAATGCTGTTATCATTATTGATTTTTCATGGTTGATTGACATAAATATTAAAAAAAAAAAATTGTTTCCAGTTGCGCGTTTGAATTTGTTCGCCGATAAATTTTTGTTAATCGATAACACTACTGATATTTTTGTCGCAAAAACCTAGATTTTATGGTCATCGAGATAATTATCGTTATCATCATCGATTTCGGGAGTGTATTTATCGATAATATTATCAATACTTTTAAAAGTAAATTTAGTCTCATCAACATTTTAATTAATACTTTCACTGATATCAATATCGATATTCTACGATTATCGATATTATTAGCGTTATCATTACTGACATTTCTACTGAAAAAATCTGCTCTTAGTGTTCGTGTGAATTTTGTTAGGCGAGCGTCGTGGCAGCGTCTACTACACTAGGAGGCTGTTACAGCTCAGGAAAATTAGCGAAAGTCCTTGGTTAACGAAAGTACTGAAACGCTAACCCATATGTAGATAGCATAAAGGTTTATCATTCTTAGCGATAAACGTTGTTAGCAACCGTCTTCTAAATAATTTGGTAAACTTTAAGCACAGCAATTAAGCTTTTTGCTCTTTTTTTTCCTGCGCAATGGAAAAACTATCTGGGCTTATCATAGTTAAAATTTATTTTTAGTCCTACACAAAATTTATGGCTGATTTGCTTATAAATCAGTGCGCTGTTTGCGTACATTTGTCAGTCTTTTGTTGGACCACGCAGTTGGTGCAATACTTTAACTAAAATTCAGTCAAATTAAGAAGAATTTATAGAAAGTGTTCGCAAATGGTCGACGAGGAGGTTAAAAAAGTAATTAAGAATAACAAAAGAGGTTTCAAAATAATTTATACAGTTACTGGGAAACAATTAAAAGAATCGAAATTTGGTTCAAGTTAAATTACAAATTATCAAATCAACAGCAAAACACACGCAGCCCATTATTGCCATATCCTTCCAGCGCATGGTGGTGACTATTGTATTCGAGTACACGTTTGAGGTGTCTAAGGATTTACATGAAAAGCTGTTCTCGCCATTAATAAATGTTTTGTAAGATATCGTACGGGAACAGCTTCCTGTAAAATCCAATAAATTTCTGCAAATACTGAAGGACCTTTTACTTATACAAACTTTTAACGAACAAGGCAATTTTTTTTTCTCACTGTTCAACTCCTTTGATATAGGAAGGACCATGTGCCTATAACAAGTACGACCCTATCCACAATAAGATTAATACGATTTTGTTAGTAGTGAATTGAAATAAGGTATAACATTAGATAGCAAAAACCGAATGGACATAAATCATACCACATCTACATTTCAGTTAAATATTAGTGATTTATATTTCCAATCAACAGATTGCACCGGATGAGGAACAAGTGCCGACTGAACCCGTTACATCTGACAAAATGAACTACCACAAAAAGCAATCCTCCAAAGTTGGCTGGATACTTGCACCAGCATTTCTAATTATTTGGCCTGCAATCTTGTATGCCATTGTCATACCACTTTTCCTATCATTACCCGAAGGAATTACAATCGCAAGCGAGAGCTCATATCCTGGTCAATTCATAGCCGAGCGTGCCGAAAATATACTATACGATTTCAATCATATCGGACCAAAAGTGGTGGGAAGTGATGCAAATGAAAACCATACAGTGGAACTGCTTAAAAATGAATTGGAAAAGATTAGAAGTGCTATGCATGAGGATCTCTTCGAATTGGATGTCGATGTGCAGGTTGTCTCTGGTGCTTATATGCATTGGCAAATGGTGAATATGTATCAGGCGGTGCAAAACGTTGTGGTACGCATTAGGAGTAAAAATTCCACCAGCGAAGCGGCCTTACTCATGAACAGCCATTTTGACTCGAAACCTGGCAGTCCAGGTAAGTAAATCGATGTTAAGTGTGGGGCGATGAGTATTTGAGTCTGCTTATTTGAAAAATTTATACATAGGTGCCGGCGATGATGGCACTATGGTTGTTATATTGCTCGAGACTCTGCGCGTGCTCGCCACAACTCGTCAAACTTTCACACATCCAATTGTATTTCTATTCAATGGCGCCGAAGAGAATCCTTTGCAGGCTTCACACGGTTTTGTTACCCAACACGAATGGGCTAAAAATTGCAAGTAAGTGTGTGTGGGGATTTATGGGTTGCGGATGAAAATTGTACATGACTATAAAAATATATATTATTAGAGCGGTCATTAACTTGGATTCAGCAGGTAGCGGTGGTCGCGAAATTCTCTTCCAATCCGGACCTAATCACCCATGGTTAATGAAAGTGAGTAGCTGTTTGTAGTTGTGAGAAATTCATGAGTGCGTCTTTTCGTTATGGGCTTTGGTGTAACATACATGTCTGCTCGTTAATATTCAAATGTTTAGAACAGGAACCTTAATGTGTAGGACCGCCTGACAGGTTTAAGAACTCGACGTATTCACATACATTTTTTTTTTATTACCACACATCACTTTTCGATAATCCTGACGGTTTTTGGGAAACTAATAATTTTTAATTAGTTTTTAAGAAAAAATTAAAAAATTCAAACTTTAGCAGGGACAAAATTTAAAAAATACATATCAGAATCGGTGTCAAATTTACTTATGGCGTTTTTGTTTCTACCAAAAAAGAATACCTTCTCTTTGCCCTCTATGCACAAATACTAAGAAGAGGGCAGTGAGAAGGCAAAATTTTCTTCTGTTACAAAATAAAATTCAGCTACTAATGAAGAAATAGAGATAAATAAAAAAGGAATGAGTGGTCAAATGAAAATGCGCCAAGGCTTTTATGGGAAGAATGTTACTCATACGCCATGTAAACTCTATCTCACTAATTAGTATTAGGATTGTTTAAGTGTTTCATAAGATATACGCAATTAAGTAGAACCAATTGTTTTTTTAGCTGAATAGCGGTGCACACACCTCAAAAACTTATCCAACTTAACTCGATTTTCGGAATCTGCGGGCGATTCTACATGGGAATTGGATAGTGGCAGTATAAATAATTAGTCGTCAGATTTATAGGATTTAGTCAAAAGTGTAGCTGGGACTATCCGTTCATTCTGATATCAGGATAGGCGATCGGGTATTCATGTATATGGATAAAATTCTGATATCCGGTTAATATACGTTCGTTTGGTCATCCCGATTTACTAAAATATGTTTGAATATATTCGTACAATTTATCTCAAAATTATGGAATCTTTTGAGTTGCAAGATAAATAACGGAACACTCTTTTGATATACAAACAATTGTTTTTTTTTCTAGATTTGAAAATCCGAATATCGGGTTAATATCGGTTAATTGTGTTATCCGGATATTCTGATATTCGGATGTTTTAATCAGATGTTCGAATATCCGGATAATTGGATATTCAAAAAATTCGGATAGACCTAGCAGCCCTAGTCAGAAGTCATACCGCGTCGTGAGAAACAGTAGCTTGTTATGTTTGTTAAGATCCAAAAACTATTCAGCTACAGAATTAAATTCATCAGCTGATTGGATATGTTATTTCATTTATTGAGAGCGGAAACAATACTGTTTACAGTAAAAATCGAGAACGTGCTGGAATGAGAGTCAAATTCAAACTTACTTTTGCGTGGCTCCAAAAACAGATTTCGAAAGTGTCTTGATGCTCTAGAGGGAACATTAAAGTTTGCTTCAGACATAAAGGACGAGCTATTTCGATAAAAAAAAATCGGTACTGTTTTTCCATCGGAAATATAAAATCCATTATATTTTAAGACGTGCGCCAAAATATTTCGGAAAATATTAAGATTTACATGAGCTCGACAGATTTAAAAACACCTGTAAAATCGAGTTTGTTTGTAAATTAAATTAGTTTTTAAAAGTATTTTTTCTATGAAATTATCTCAGATGACTTTGGTCTAGCGCACGTTAATCTTTTTATTTTTCTGAACTATTTTGTCGGAAGTCTTAGAAGATAATAATTTTTTTATGCACTCTAATTTAGACATATTTGTTAATTTATTAGACTGGTCCGATCTCCATATAAAAAAAAAAGTTTAAATTATCAATAAAATCCCTTCTACATGCCTGCCTCTAAGTTGTGAAAACCGACATGTTTGAACGCTTTACTTTAATTTACAGATCTACCGTCGTAACGCTAAACGCTCGTTTGCGACAACATTCGCAGAAGAATTATTCCAATCCGGCATTATACCTTCGGATACAGATTTTAGAATATTTAAAAATTTCGGTGATATACCTGGTAAGCCCCTACAAATAAGTAAATATGTGCATTGCAAACGGCCCTAAGTGACATTTTTAACAAAAAAGTGAAAAAACAAAAATCACCTGGGGCCTTTGCTCGTGATAATGATATATAGAGTTACTAAGTAAAAAAAACAAACACAACTTTTATAGGCTTGGATATTGCACATTTTAAAAATGGCTATGTATACCACACGGAATTCGATAGGATTGATGTTATACCACGTGGAACGCTACAATCTACGGGTGATAATATATTGGCTCTGGCGCGTGCTTTCAGCAATTCTACAGAATTAAAAGATCCAGAGGTAAGTGAAAAAGTAAACCAAATCTCCTTACAGCAAATAGATCTTAATAATAAACAAATTGAATTTAGGAGAACATTTTTTTTCTAAATTTAAAAGTTCATTTTCAAATTAATTTAAATTTTTTTATACATCTGAAAAAAATATTAAAAAAGCTCAAATAAAAATAGTACAGATTCTGTACAACCGAAAAAATCTTCGAAGAATCCTTTGCGCTAAATTATCGTACATATATGCCACAAACCCACTTTTATAAGGGAGCGTTGGTTCTACTTTTAAAATTTTTATATACAAAATACCTTTATATCGCACATACGGTAATTTCGCCCACAAAGAAATGCATTTTAACATATNAAAAAATCTTCGAAGAATCCTTTGCGCTAAATTATCGTACATATATGCCAGAAACCCACTTTTATAAGAGAGCGTTGGTTCTACTTTTAAAATTTGTATATACAAAATACCTTTATATGGCACATACAACAATTTCGACCACAAAGAAATGTATTTTAACATATTACGATAAAATATAAAGCAAACAGCGGAATCAAATGGAAGTTTAGCTACAATAATTTGCCAGGTGATGTGGGGCGTAGTACAAATTTGCATAAAAAGTCAATTTCGAAAAAATGACACAAGCGATAATTTCGCGCCAAGGGGTCGACATGTTTATGTTCGAGCTTTCCGAGTATAAGCGAATTTTCTGCTTGTCTAAATGTCAGTCAAAAATTTACTCTTTCATAGAGTATAGAATTTCGAAATATTAGGGAGCTCACTGCCTAAATATTTAACTCCGTATTAATATCGAAAAAGTTTATTATTTTCTAGCCAAATATAACTAATTTATTTATTTTTATTTTCACATTATTTTCTTTATTTCTCTGAAAACACAGAATCATGCCAGTGGCCATGCAATCTTCTATGATTTCCTCGGACTTTTCGTCATTGAATACACCGAAGATACAGGCAAAATTATTAACACAGCCGTTGTTGTTGTTGCTCTAGTACTAGTGGCAATATCCCTATGGTGTATTGCTGAAGATTCTTTCATTTCCATCTGCAGCGTGTTCAAACTCTTCTCGCTGATATTCATTCTACATTTGGTGGGCTGGATATTGGCTCTCGCTTTGCCTTTACTTGTGGCAGTTGCACTCGATAGTGCTGCAAGTCCCATGACTTGGTTTACAAACAAATGGCTAGTTTTGGGCTTATATGCTTGCCCGGCACTCTTCGGATTGAGCGTGCCCACCATACTCTATCTGAGCATAAGTCGGAATGTAAGTGTCTAAATTTGATTTTTATTGCTTAAATTAATTTCGTTCTCTCAAAAGGATAAAGTATCACACCCATATCGCCTTCAACTGGTCTATCACGCGCACACACTAATCCTCTCGGTGGCTTGTATTGCTCTCACATTTGTTGGCATACGCAGCTCGTACTTTCTAATGATTTCACTAATCTTCCAAGACATCGCTTTGATAATAAATTTTGTGACCACGCTCTATCGAAGAGGTGAGTTACAACATATTACATTACAACAAAAATAATGGGACCAAAAAATTTTTTAAATATTTATCGCACTAACAGCCTATTACTGGTCCATTTTCATCACGCTGAGTCAAATTATTCCCTTCCTCTACTTCACCTCTATTTTTAATGCTTTGCTTATCGGCTTTATTCCTATGATGGGCCGATTTGGTACCGCGACTAATCCGGATTTGATTATCGGTCTGCTAACAACTTGGGGAACCCTGTTGGCCATGGGTTATTTGGTAAGTTTTACAGTATGTTGAAATTTTCGGTGTAATATACATACAAACGTACATACATCCCTCTGGCTTTTTACAGATCCCACTGTTAAATACATTCAGACGCCCTAAATTGGTTCTGCTCATCTTTCCTATTGTGGCAATAGTTGTTGGTGCTCTCACGCTAACACTGATCGGATTCCCATACCGTCCTCAAACTAATGTGCAGCGGGTCAATTTCTTGGTAAGTTCAGCCATTCACACATGCATGTCTATGTACAGAAAGTATTCCCTTTTCGATTCAGCAAGTACAACGCGTATTCTACGAGTACGATGGATCCGTAAGTCTCAATGACTCTGGTTATTATTTCGACTTCCAAGACAGGCGCAGACATCTTCCCCTCGAATGTGAGTATAAACTTATTTTAGCACTTCACGGAATTAATAAATGAAAACTCTTTTAATGTTATTTTTTCTCCAGCCTATGTCGATCTAGAGGATTTATATTACGTAAGCAAGAATTGTTCCACATATATGTTTTGCGGTGTACCCGTGTTTAACCACCGCATGCAAAAAGCGGTTAAATATGCCGCTTGGCTACCGCGTGAAGAGCCCATCGAATTGCCCGGCAGAGCCAACCTTACACTCATCAGCAAAACTGCCAATGCTAGCGACGAAAGCGTACGTTTCGAATTCGAACTGCAAGGCCCACCGCATATGAGCATCTTTGTGCAACCAATCGACGACGTAGTGGTGAGCAGTTGGTCGTTCTTGGAAGAAATGATTCAGAACAAGGCCACATATCAGCCACCTTATCACATCTATTTCTCTTATGGCAAGGAAAATACGCCATTAAGTTTTTACATTGATTTGAAGGTAAATAAGAAATTTTATATGCATTAAGAATTAATTTAGGTATAACTTTAAAAAATTTCAGAAAGATGACAGTGACTTTGATGAACCCCTTATGCAGCTGGGTATTTCAGGGCACTTCGTGAGCGCTGAATGGGAACGAGATGCCGAGACGAAGAAATTCCTCGCAGAACTTCCACCATACGCTTATGCCATGGAGTGGCCCACCTCCTATGATGTCTATACATTTTAAGCAGAGATATACATACATATAGATTAAAAATGCGCCTTATAAAAAACTATCTCAAAATAAATTGAATAATTTCGCATAATGTTATAAAACAATCAATCGCCTTTAGGATTGGATTTTTCTGGCAGGTCGAGATTTTTTTTTTTATATTTAGAAAATATTCAAAGATGTATTTTAATTTAGCATGGCATTAAAAATTACAAATTTAAAATTGAAAATTTGAAATTTTAATTTTTTCATCAGTGACTGCTTTACGAAACAATTAATATCTCAGGCCCTATATCGACACATGCTTTAAAAATTTGTCAGTTAAATCTTTGATATACACTCTATAACATATATTTTTGGCATATTTTTAAAAACCTGCCAACTTTTTTTTAGCAACTTTCTAAATTGTTCATTAACAAAGGTATGGAAAAGTGCATTTAAAAAAATTAGAAAATTTTATAAATTCCTGACTCTTTTATTTTTTTAATATTTTTATTAAGCTTTGTACCACGATTGTTAATTAGGAAAAATTGAAAAGGCAACAAAGTCTAAGCGATAGAAGTTATAGCAGCTATTTCGGAGATCACCACATCTCCTCATCAGACTTCTCTTGGTTGAATAAGGAAAATGAATTAGCAACAAGAGTTTACGGGATGTACATAGCTCAGTGGTTAACGCTTCTGAATTTGAACATCGATCACGCAGGTTTGAACCCTGCTGAAGTCTAGAAAAAAAGAAGTCTGATGAGGAGATGTGGTGATCTGCGAAATAGCTGCTATAACTTCCACCGCTTAGACTTTGTTGCTTTTTCAACTTTTTTCCTAATAAACAATCGTGGTACAAAGTCAATAAAAATATTTAAAAAATAAAATGTTAATAATATGGGAAAATTTTCCAGTATTCAGATATAAAATTGATAAAAATGTCCTATGTAGTTATATTTTCAATAAAATAGATATTAAGAATTTGTAGATTGTGGTATAAATATATATAAATAAACTAGTTAATCAAGATTTCAAAAAAAAAAAAACCATCTATAAATATTAAAGAAACCGGTTTGGATAAGCGGAGTCAATCTCTCTGGTATCGACTAAGTTTTCTACTACCACATGCAAATTAAATTCAACGATCAGTGCAAGCTTCTTCATTTCCTTAATCGCGGTTTTGGAGAAAAGAATGTTGGAGGATATTTTGCCATTATCGAGGCTCGGAAGCATAAGAATTTAAATTTGCTATCTCATAATAATTGATAAAATAAATAAAACTCTTTCTCAAAGAAAATTTATGGAAACTGACGGAAAGTATTCTAATTTTTGCGGAACGTTGCAAAGTCCCGTTCATGATAAAAAGTATTAGCAACGATTCGTATGAATAATAATATTTTTGGTCACTTTCCAATGCAGTTGAAAACATTTTATTTTTAATTTTTTGTTTCTAGTTCGACTTTCGTAACTCGAATATTTTACTTCAATAAGCAGCGGTGTACTCGCTCCTCCTCCTATGTGGCAAGCAATAATATTTTTCTTACAAAACTAAACTTTTTGTCTTTGAAAGAAAACTTCAAAGTCGTTGTCTGCGGGTGAAAGAATAGATGTATATAGATGAATAGAATTTGGGAAATAAAGAGAAAAGAATTACTTTTAAGATCTAAAGCTGGTGCTTTTTTAAAAGCTTTTTTTTCTTATAGAGTGGTATTAGAAATTTGTATCGATAATGAGTTCAGCTCAATAAACAGCCCCACTCTGTTTCTGACAAAATGTACAGATCTGTATAAATATACAAATCGTGTGTTCTCTGCTTAAGAGAAATTTTTTCTTATTTAGTACAGGTATTGAAAAAGGCATTAAAACCTCTTTAATAAAACGACAAATCAAAAGGTGATATCCGGTCGCCAAGGATAAAATGTTCAAACATTTCAGCTGGCTTTACGTGTTATATATGAGGTATTCAAGAACAATCCATTACCTACACTCAGTAAAAAGCCAGCTAAATATATTTCCCCGAACACAAGATTTCGTAACCAAATCATGTGTTAAGAAAAATATCTCAGTGTAGTGCGCACGCGTTCTTAAATGTTTATGATAATCTTAATAATATTTGCATACAAAGTTCAATATTTAATTACTCTATGCAAAACAGCAACAAACTTTTCATATCGAACGTTTCAATAAAAAAAAAAAAAAATCGCGACGCTAACTTTAAGTAAAAATCTACACACAATCCGGAAATTTGTGTTTGAACTAACACACTCGTACATAAATACTATTTCGCGTACAAATATAAATAACTGTTATAAAGAATATCGAATTTTGATTATAGAAAATCACAAACCTAATAAATATGGCGATGCGATAACACCATTTATATGATTTTTATCGGATATGATCATAAAGATTTAAAAGTTCATTTATAATACGATAAGCTATACTTTGTGCGAAAAATCAATGTGACAGGGCGAAATGCTGTGTTTAAAAGTTTATTGAAAACTACATACTTTTGTAGAATTGCGATTAAATCGAAAAATATTTTTACAACATTTTGAAATTATGTACACAAGTATGTAACAAAGAGCTGTTGGATGCTAACTAAAGTTAGCTGAAAAGCTACATATTTAGTTTAATCAATGCCAGTACTACTATCGTTATCTTTTTTAAGGGTTGCCGATATTTTTATCGATATAATCGATATATATTTATTTAGATATTGTGTTAATCGATAAAATTATTAATATTTTTGTCGTTAAACTAATTTGATCCACATCTTAATTAATACCCCTACAGAAAATGTTATCGAATCAACTATTCTTAACAGGGACCGAACATAACAGTTATTGATGAAAACTGTCATTGAAAAATTCACTGTGAAGGAAATGTTCTACAACTAAGTGAAACATACCAATTGATTTCATTTTTCACCGAAAATTTTTATGTAAAATCCAAAAAGAAAATAACACTTATTTTTTATTTTTATTTTACAAATCCAAATTTACAATTATTTTTGATTTTTACCTAAATAATCTGAAAGTAACAGGTATTCATGATTCTTCAGATAACAGTTATGGAAGAATTTTATTTATAAAATTCATCAATAGAACTCAGTCGCCGACTTTTATTTTTTAAATCACACATACAAAAGTCATTATCATTTTTCGCAGTTAAAAAGCTGTTGCAGAACCAAAGCTCACTATGACTTATACAAATGACTTTTATAAGTATAACTTTAAAAGTAAAAGTCAGTGACTGATTTATATTGAGGATTTTTATAAATAAAAGTCTTCAGTAACTGTTATCTAAGATATATAGTTTAAAAATCAAAAATCAAAAAATAACTGTTATTTGCAGATTATTTAAATAAAAAACAAAAATAATTGTTATTTCGGATTTATAAAATACAAATCAGAAAAAACTGTTATTTAAGGAGTAATTAAATAAAAGTCAAAAAATAATTGTTAAAAAGTGATTTTTTTTTTTTTTAATAAAACTTGTAACTGTTTCGGTCCCTGATTCTTAATGTTCATGGATTTATCGATAACATTAACATAATTTTAACAATAAAACTAGTCTTAACATTTTACAGAAATCGTTGCCGATATTTTATGCTATCAACTAAAAAAATCAGCGCTTAATGTTCGTGTGCATTTTATAAGGCGAGAGTAATGGAAGAATCCACTACACTATGAGCCAGTTACAGCTCAGAAAAATTAGCGAAAGTCTTTGATTAACGAAAGTCCTGAAACGCTAGCCCATATTTGGCATAAAGGTTTGGCATGTCTAGCGATGAACGTGGTTAGCAACCGTCTTTTTAATAATTCTATAAATTTTAAACGCAGCAATTAGGCTTTTAGGAAAATAACACTTTTTTTTCTGCGCAATGCAAAAGCTTTTGAGCTTATCATTGCTACGATATATTATTAGGCCTACATATAATTTTTGGGTAGTTTGCTTATAAATCAGTCCGCTGTTTGCGTAGATTTGTCAGTCTTTTGTTGGACCACGCAGTTGATGCAATACCTTTAATTAACATTCAGTTAAATTAAGAAGAAATTATAGAAAGTGTTTGAAAATGGCCGACGAGGATGTGAAAAAAGTAAGTAAGAATATTTAGTATGAAACATTTCCAAGAATCGAAATTTTGTTCAAGTGAAACTCATAATTATAGAATCAACCACAAAACATTTAAAGGATGTGAATATACATTTTTTTTTTGTTTTGGCTATTAATCGGTTTAAGGCATCTCTTAAGTGCTTAAGCTTAAGTCGTGCATTGGTATTAAATATGTATAACACTCCCGTTGTTAAAGGTTCCCACTCATGTGACATCCTATTGTCATATCCATCCAGCGCAATGTGCTTACTATTGCATGCGAATACCCGTTTGGGGTCCCTAGTGTTGTATGTAATTAAAAGAAAATATCACTATATATCGCCACCTAAAGGGGCCGCTTTGGTGTAGTGGTAAGCAGTGCGCGCTTTCACTCATCAGCATCTGGGTTCAAGCCTTGGTCAAAGCAACATCGCAAAAAATACAGAAAAAGGTTTTTTCTTAACAGCGGTCGTCCCTCGGCAGGCAATGGCAAACCTCCGAGTGTATTTTGTGCCATGAAAAACAGCTTCTCATAAAAATACAATCGCCGTTCGGGAAAATGCGCCAAGTCCATTTTTTTTTTATTGTTCAGGAGCAGGATCTCGGTAGGTCCCTATCACCTCTTAAGCAATTCGAGACAGCAGTAGTTTGATGTTTCTATATCCCAGCAGTACTACAAAAACTCGAGCATATTTCCGAGGTCAAAGGCACCATTTTTTTCGCATTATCGCGTTTCGTTATTGGATTAAGGATCCAACGTACGCAACGGGGCATTTTTTGTCTTATTATTATAGCAATTTTTGCCTTCTAGAAGTATTTTTTAGCCAAGAGGATGTTTGATTTTTTAATGTGGGTCCCACCGGAAAAATCTAATGGAAAAATGCTCGACCTTATTTCGAAAAAGTATTTAATCTTCTCAAATTTACCTGGGTCAATAAATGGTTCAATAGCGTAG